GGGGGGGGGGGGGGGGGGGGGGTTCCAGGGATAAATAAAATGGATAAATCTCTGCATCCCTGCATCCTCCTTTATCGTAACCATTAAACTTCGAAATCTTTGAACTGGATAACATTGCGTACAGTTCATACGAAGTAATTCAAATGCTGCACGTTCACAGTGGTAAGCCAGAAAATTTTGGGGGTTCCTACATATGAGAAGCAACACAGTACCGAAAAAGCTGATCTTTGGATAACGCACATAAGGGCAGGACCTACCGCTGCCCTGAATTGTCCTGCGATCAAGGCCGAAAATAGTTGGATGACCCATTCTGCGCTATTTCATCCCTTTTTCCTAGAGTACTGGACTTAAGCGCTGTGACTTTCCTCAGCATTACATGATACATAAAGCGGCGGAATTTCCTGTCTTCTAGGACAACGCCTCGTAAGCCTTGGCGTACACTTCTTCACTTCTTAAGGAATCTAAAAAATTAGTCCTCAAATATATGACAATGTCTCGAAGTTCTTCCCTGGAAAAAGCTATAAAGAATAATGGCAGCGTGGATTCCACTAAGGAATTCAAGATCATTTATACAGTAGGAGACAGTCAATTATAGGAATTCAATTTTGTAAATGCTCACGATTCCTGAACATAAAGTAGTGCTATTATGTAGTCTGTAAATGTAAAATGGAAGAAATGGTGAGGCAGTACCCATCGAAAGATCACAAAATGAAAAACTTAGGAATTCAGTACCGCAAAAGCCATGACAATATTTTAAAAAAGTGTGATGAGAAGACAAGTTTTGTGAGATTGAAAGCATGCCGGTTTGCGTACCAACAAAACAGGCACAGTTGGTGAGCCGCTGCATATTGGGGCTCCAAGATAGAGCATGCCTGAGAAGCTGTTGGATAACACCCGAGAGCATTGCCATCAGTGTTGGTAGCTTTCAGCTCGAGCCTTCCACTCCTGGGAAAACAACATAAACTTTGAAGATAACTAAACAAATGATGTAAGCTGAAAAAAGCAGCGACATCTGACGACATTTCCACTGACACTACAAAAACTCGAAATACGCTGAAGATGGGTGCTGTAGATTGATAGACTTCACAGATTACCCAAACCCACTAAAGGAGAAGCCAATTTCGCCTTGCGAAGACACACGCAGCACATAGCAACAGTCAAAAAGAGGATGTCTTCGACGTTAATCAGTCCCATTTTGGGGATGCGCTCCCGCACTCGGCCTTCATCCAAAATGGTAGTGACCGTTGGAATGCGTGTTTGACCCACATAATGACTTACAGTGGCCGGCTGATATACAAGTCAGTGCTTTTATTCTCCAAGACGAGCCTAGCGCCAATAAACCGACCCCGAAGGAAAGGTAGGCTTGGTTGGCTTGCGCGAGTAACGTTCCGGAATACGAAATCCAAACCATCCGAGTGGCTGCTTTCGTAGAGGCCCCCTCCTAGCACTACCCGGCTGGCTCGCCGGCGCTCCTCTTGCCACTACACCACCTTTGTCTTGTGAGTCATATACAGGGTGGGCCCAAATTATGATTACAGCGCGCGCTGACGTTCATTGCAAATTTTTTTCTATGTTCATAACAATTCATTGAATTACTTCCATTTCACAAAGTAGCTTACGTTATTACCTTTCTAATGATACTGAACTTTGGGTAGATTTTTAATATAATATAAGCGTAACTAGTCCGTGAATTAAACGTCGCTTTGCATTTTCAAACACTTTTGGCACGGTGCATCTACAGACGAACTAGCGAAACAAGGCAGGTATTGCATTCAACCATAAGACGCTCTCGAGAGTTTGGAACAATTGCAGATAGGAGTGGTGAACCAAGAAAAGCTGTGTTTATATTTAGGGGAAGTGTTAAGGAAGCAGGGCAAAGGTCTACGTAGCAGCAAAATTCATTCTGAGTCCAAAAAGGCTAAATGAATGGATATGTCACTAAATTTTCTGCGTGAAATCGTGAAGCATCCCCTGCACAACGAGACCCTTATACGATCAGAAACTGATTTCCCCAGAGAGCAGGTTAAAGGGAAGAGAAAGGTTGGCTAACAAAAGCTGCCTGTCGCATCCGAAAAAATTGTCCTACGGAATTCCTGTTCACCGACGAGAAAAGATTCACAGTGAAATAGGTGCTCAATAAGTAGAGCGATAACATTTATATGAAGCTCAAAGAAATGAAAGTGATACAGCGCCAGGCTCACTAACTTTCTGTGATGGCCTGTGCTAGCGTCACCGCCGAGGCAAAGACACCGATTATTCTTGTGGGTTATGGAGTGAAAGTTGGTTTGGAGGCCTGTTTGATCTCTTCGTGCGCAATAGGACACTTTGGTGATTCGAACCGGTCATGTTGTCAAGATGAGGCTCCTGACCGCAGAACAGAAATTGTCTAGAAATTTCGTGAAAGGGGTTCTTTGACTTCATAACCTTCGATCAGTGACCACTCTGGAGCCCTGACCTAAATCCCATGAATGTCTCAATGTGGTCAGCCTCTGAGATGAAAGCATCCTTTAGCCCAAACAACAGAAGAAATAATCTCGAAAATGCTTAGCAAAAATCCGGGACCATTTCGATGACCCTAGCTGCGTGCCACCGTCAACGCCGTCCATCGTCGTCTTTGGGGTTGGGTGAAAGCAGAAAGCAACAGATCTCCAGTCTCAATATACAGTTTTGATAAGAAATTTGTGCTAAACCCTTTAATGAAATTGGTTTGCTCTATTGGCTTTCTATTCGTTTTCTGCGATGCGATTTCTGTGTAATCATAATTTTGGCCCACCCTGTATATAGCAAAATTTTCTGATAATATTTTTTTAATCAAGCAAAACTAACCTTCTTCTCAAGAGCTGGGAGCATTCGAAACTGCTGAGCACAAAACTTCACAAAGTCTTCCGCATTCCCGCTAAACATACCCCGTAAGGTTTCCTCATTGCTCTCCATCCAAAGTGTATACGCTGTTCTAAATTCGAATGGTTAGTGAAATATTAATACCAAAGAGCACAAAATGACACTACGATATGTACCAACTCTAGGCCTCCTACAAAAAACCATGCAGTTTCAGTAAAAATCGGGTGAGTATTTGGACTCATATGTCGCCTACAAGACAACCCACGAGCCTTGCCAAGCCTCCAACAAAAATCTTTCTCTCATGCAATCACCTCTGTAATTGATCTCAACTCTAGATAAGCAATAGGGTGGGCGAGCTAGCTCATAAAGTTTGAAACTATTCAATCACTGAGTGAATTACGCTGTCACAGATACAAAAACAATCAAGGATTACGAGGTGAGTTTTAATTTTTTGTATTGGCAGCACCAAGCGACAGGGGGTTAAAAGAGAAAAAAAAANAAAAAAAAATCATTAAACAAGCTTATCTGTATTGAAAATAGTGAGTTTGACAATTAAATACAAACCGCGCATTCTCTTTGTCCTTCATGAATGCTCCAATTGATAGCTTTTTTTGCTTTGACGTCGACGTCGATGGTTTCGGAGGCTGAATTAACTGTGTCGCTCATCGCAGCGGAGTAAAAAAATTTAAAAAATCATCAGTTACCTCTTCTTCCTTCATCCGTTTTCTATTACTCGATAGGGAGAAGTCGGAATCGAAGACAGAAGAAGTGTCCAAAGAAGAAGTCGGTGATCTCTAAAATACATCACATTGATACGGGATAATAATATTTAGACTTAAAGTCATGGTCAAAATCAAGCTGTCCCCGTTTCCGGTCAGGTGTGGCCAACAATGTAGGGACAGAAAGAACTGCGCTGGCAATATTCGTGGACGATGCCAACGAATCAAGAAACGTGAACTGGTGGGTGATGTCCTCTACCGTTGTATCTCTTCCCTTTTGTGAAGGCTTTATTCGTCTTTGAGTTCGCACAACTGCAGAGAAAATTTGTTCAAAAATTAGAAGTAGGATGAGCTCCTGAGGTGTCTAGGTGTAGGCCAAAAGGAAGGAGAATGAGTAGGGCCCAGGTGCTGCGGATTCGGTCAGTATTCACTGAAGTTATTGGGTTGGCCATAGGAAAATATGTAGGGTACATGAGAGCTCAGCCAAGTCCCACCCATGGGGAGTGGGACATGCATACGAGTGGCAGCTTCAATGGATAAAGCTTAATCTAGTTTTGTAACAGCCTAGACGCCTGGAAAGAATGAGGTAAGGTGAGAGCTGGGTCAACAAGGAGACCAATCAACCCGCAGTGGACGGAGCGTCCACACAAAGGGCGGTATTTTCCACATAAGTTCATAACACGACTCGAACGTTTGCGCACTTCACCGAAAACTGTTGAGTTAATCATGTCTCTTTCAACATTCAGCAAAAGTAGGTATTAGTAACTCACCTTGAAGGGATTGCGCGATATTTTTCGTGCGGGGATGAGCGTTCTGTCCAAGAGTGTGTCGTCAGTTTGCTGAGTGCAACTCGGCTGTTGAAAATCCGCGTGGCCATCCTCATAGTCATCTATGTCAGGCTTCATTGATGCCATCGCTGTTGTCGCGCTGTTTTCTTCCATAAAAATCTACAATCGAATACATACCTAGATAGTTACAGATGAAACCTATTCTGGGAAATTTCTTGTTACAGCACGAGATTTCTAAGGGTAAATTTGCCGATGGTAAATAGTATATGGAGAACTAGCCTTTACACCCTTCATATCATCTCGTTCAGACTTAACCTGTGTCATTGCCGTTGAATCGCTATTCTCCTTCATCAGGACCTAGAACGAAATCAATTGTTTGTGTAGCCTGACGAACGCTTCCAAACCCCACGCGATTCTGATGATATTACAAGGTACATATGCTTTAGAGAAGACGTGTACTCACGCCTTTACCTCCGGCCTAGAAATATTGTAGATGAATTGGAATCCCAAAATAAGTGTCTTTCCTCACAAGCAGTTTTTGAGCGAAAACCAGGTGAGACGATAACACTGCATCTGTTAGCTCCCTTGTCGTACACTTAACTCTCGAAGGAATAGGGAGTATCTGTGGGGATCGACAAGCCAGGCTGCTGCAGCGATCACTCTTAACCTTTGTGCTGATGCAAAGAAGTAGACAAAGAAAAAGGACAAAAGTCTTTGCGCACCCACTGACCTCATTACCAGGCTGATTCGCAAGAAAGTATAGTCCTTATTACCCTTATAATGCTTACTCCCACAGTTTACTCAGCTTTTTCGTCTTCAAAAGTAATAGAATTGCACCCGAAATCGTAAATTTCCTCAGACTAGAACTCTCAAATAATGCCATCGAAGGTGTTCTTCAAAAGACTGGACCAACCGGACGCTGTTGAACTACCCCGGAATCTCTCTTGATTGAGATTCGTCGAGGAGTAGGGAATTGTTCTGATTGAGCATGGGAGGAATCAGAAAACATTGGTTCACTGTGGTTCGATGAAACACTCTCACGGCCTCTAGCAGCAACCTGAAATTTATGTTTTCATAAAAATTCTACGAGTTGCTAAACAAACCTTCTCGGCGAGTGTAAACTTCTTGAGTTTTGCAGCATAGTTGCACATCAGCTGAATGCCTTTTGCAGAAGTCACGAGTCCAGCCAACTCGGCAGCTCGACCATCTCTTTCGCTTTTGCATGCCAGGGCAAAGAGCTTTATGAGCGATTGAAGATGACTTGAAGCCAACTCCTAAAATACGTTCCCACAAATGGTAATGACGTCATACCAAGAAAACTATTATACTATAGGATGATTAAAGAAAAGAAACGGTAACTGAAAGTTCGCAGGATGATTAAGAAAAAAATACAGTTCAATGAATCAGTTAGTTCGAAGTATCAAAGCGTTTGCTCCTTTTACATAGAGCCTCCGTTAATAAGTTGCCACTAGGTCGGCAGACACCTAGGTTGACACATTTGACACACTCAAGAGACTCGTTAGGTAAACGCCCTGGTCATCAAATAAAGTAATCTAATTTCTTTCACATGACCATCTGTGCGTTGCTAATCTCGGTATCTCAAAGGAGCCCGTATTTACGCCCCTCCTCCAGTAAGTGCACAAGAGTATTATAAAACCTTAAGCTACACTTTTCATACAACATTAGAAGACCAGTGGCAGTTGCCACCTGCCTGTGCGAGAACCGATGTCTCTGAAAGACTGGTCAAAGCAGAGAGAACAGCAGAATCCAAGAGATGGGCGTCAACCGAGTTCAGTCTTGCTACCTTCCTACAGTTTTCAAATTTGCTGCCTGCACCCCTTCCAAATTTGGTCGACCCAGGTTCACGGTACTCCCACTGAATCTGAGTGTCCTAGACCCATGCGAATGGAAGCTATAAGCTTTGATCATACACACATCACAAGCAAACACACACCGATAAACCAACAGATCTATTTTGTGCGTCATTCAGAGTATTTAGGATATCGTGTTGAGATGATACAAGCTGATGAAAGACAGGAGCCACCGGATCTACAACACCTTTCATACCGACACTGAAGCCTTGGAGCTCCAATACAGCATGCCAGCTGCGACGAGATCGCAGATGAAAGGGGATCGGACGTATCTGATAAAAATTGAACAAGGTAAGGATCATGGCACGGCAAGTGCTCAAAAATGCTTGGAGATTTCGCATTAACCTTGGAATTTGGCTGAATAGCTTAGTATATGCGTTGATAAACGATCGCACACAAACGATTACAAAAAATGATCATGATCAATATAAAATAATGAATACTAATAATAATAATTTTAAAAAATGACACCAACCACGAGATCAGAAGAAGCAGATGTGGTGCGAGCCTCGCTCTGCTGGAGTTCATTGAAAAATAGTTCTTGCTCCAGCTTTGACTTGTCAGATTCCTAAAAAGAACAAAAATATTTGCAGTGAGAAAACTGATGAGCCTTGCAACTTGCTCTCTTCCAGGTACATTCCTAAGTTCACCATCGAGATTAGAGAACATGGTCATATTCATGGGGCCTAGGGATAGTGACGACTTTTCGGTCGCATAAAATTTGTTGATGAGATCTCACGGATATGCCAATGGCGGAACTGCTCGCAATGGATTACGCACCTTGTTATATTGGGTTGTAACATAAGTTCGTAGAGTTTTGCGTTAGAGTTATTTTACAACGAGTTATTTTGTTTTTTAGCAAAGTGTATACATTCATTTGAAAGAGCTCTTTCTCCTCTACAAAACTGTTTTATTCGTTTTTAGGATAATTAAATTGTTCGTCTTTTTTCGGGCTCAGAAATGGAATATCCAGGAAGAAAAAATTAGCATTTTCGACATCTGCTTTTCTTTGCTTCTCGTCGAGGTCAAAAAAGCAGCCGAAACCGCTTGGGACATATGCAGTGTTTACGGGGAAGGTGTCTTAGGTGTGTCTACTGAAAGGTGTGGGTGGCCCCAGGGAAGGCGCCAAAGCCGAGAGTCAAGCAAGATCTTCACCCAAAAAAAGGACATGATCTGCGTTTGGTGGGACTGGGTAGGCATGGTGCACTGGGAAACTGCTCGAACGAAACGCCACTGTCAACAAGGAGATCTACATTGCCCAGCTGAAGAGTCTAAATGAGGCTATTCGGCTGAAAAGACCTTATAGAGGTGGTCAAGTCATCTTGCTCCACGACAACACCAGGCCCCATATTGCTCAAGTCGTCAAAACAGCACTCCAAGAGCTTGAATGGGGGGTTCTTCAGCATCCACCGCACTCTCCGGATCTTGCACCTGCCGACTATCACCTTTTCCGCTCTATGTTGAACCCAATGAGGGGTGTTACCTTCGATGGCGAAGGGGACCTTAAAAACTGGCTCAACAAATTCTTCGACACCACAACGGCCGATTTTCGGCGAATCGCCATCAACAAATTGGCCGAGAGATGGGAAGAGGTCGTGAGCAGTAACGGAGGATACATTATTGGTTAATTTATTATTATAATTATTATTTTTTGGTTCAGATAAATCTTCGTGAAAAAACTCTACGAACTTATGTTACAACCCAATATGTATGTAAACTTACGCTTTTCATTTGCAAATACGGCACCTTTTCAAATAAGGCAAATTATGAGGGTTTTGAATGACAGAAATCTTTATCCCTTTCGCTACATGGGAACATAGCGGGTTGTATCTCGAGAGCTTACATCAAGACAGCTGCTAGTATTGCTTGGCCGCCATGAAGTAGAAAACGTATTTGTCGGGTTCTCCCCTCTCTTACATCATCCTCCAATGCTGTTCTTAAAAGTGGGACTTACTGCTGCTGCCTTCTGAACGATTCCCTGCATGGTATAATAATTATTTTCAAGTGAGTACTAAATAGGCGGGTATAAGGTACCCAGATGTACGCTGCATGAGGTCAAAGAATTCTTTGGAAGGGGCTTTGCCGTATCTACTCTACTTCGACCGTTTTATACACTAGCTTCAAAGGCTCGAAAACTGTAAAAGGAAAGGCATATATCGGCATATAACTATCATTCTTTCACCATTCATTGTCAAGCTCTTTCGCTGATGGTTCTCTGAGCCAGAGGCTCCTTGAGGTACTCTGGGTCTATGGTAGGAATAACTTTCATTACCCTTGGTTTCTTGTCCTAGCTTTGTTAGAAAACAACTGACGGGTTGTTCCCTTAACAGAGTTAAGAGTTCGGGCATGTTAAACGCACATGTAAAAAAGTATTTTGGCCTAAATATCACATATGTTCACAAATTAGATTTAGACGTCCTATTGTTAATGTAGCATTGCGTACGGATGAGAAAAGAAATCGTGACGAGACCGGATGATTAGACTTTTCGAATATAAAAACTGTCTCCCTCCCGCCGCCACAAACCCCATCCACCTCGTGAGTCGAGTCACCTCAAACGCCAGCAAGGTCGCAGAACGTGGCAAGTTTAACATAAAGTGTCTTCACCCCCCTCCCAGCACCCAGTAAGTTAAAGCTCTACACCACTCTTAGCCTCCCATCTACGAGCCGTTACCCTTGCCACTGCGGCAGGCCACCGCTGTTTATGTGCGTCTATCGAGTGCCCATCTGAATAACATCTTCATAACTCTGTTCAAAGAATCGGTCCAGAAGAAAGAAGAGGAATTTAGACGCAGACTTGAGAGCATCATCTGAAAACACCCCTAACATGATATATGCCATTTTAAATGGTCACTTCGACCCGGAATCCTTTGCAACAGAAGGAAAATTCGTAAATTTCGATGACTAGAAAAGAGAGCGAATGAGTCCAAAAACAATCAAGCAATGGACAACAAGGGTTCAACGAATGACCAAGGAAGTAAAGTGCGCACTGGTGAAAATCAGATTCGAACAATCACCGAAAATCTTAGACGCCGGTACTACATTTTTAAACTCAGATTTCGGATTATTTTGAATCTGCAATCGTCTACACAGTAAAAAACAAATTAAAACTTTAAAGCAACAGCCCTATGTGTTGTATTAGCCTTAAGACTGGTCAAATACTAAAACATTAAAAAAGGTCAAAAACAATAAATGAAACAAACCGGGGCGCAGTATGGAAGTGCCCAAGGAGCTATAAGTGGTGCCATTTTCACCGCGATTAAGGGATAGTTGCTTCCTTTGCAGTGAAGATATCTATAAGCATATACTATTGAAACAGCTGAAATAAAAAAAGTCGAATCCGGACTACCTAATCTGGCGCTGCCGCCCATCAACAACCGCGATAGGCCAAATAGCGTCCGACTTGTTCATTGTTTCCGAGTTTCCATTGAAAATGGGAATCCAGAAACCAGACGGTGTCAGAAGAGATACCGTAACTTAAAAGAACAAATCGGCATTACGAGTTGAGCCGGTCAACATTACACCTTAAATTAATTCTGAGCAAATCATAGAAGAATGCCAATAGGTCAGATGAAATAATAAAACACATAGAATAAACTTTGTTGTTCACATTGTCTTGTAGAAGAAACCTAGCAGAATATGTAAATGAAAAAGTGACCATCTACCGGGGTCTAAATGATGTTCGGAACGACGATCATATCCCCAGGTCAAGTAAAAAACAAAGATTTAGGAAGAGAAGGGAACAGAATGCAAGAAAAACACGACAGTGTCTTCTTCCACGCATCAATAAGGGAAAACATGAAAAAGGAATACAGAAAGTTAGGAAAGACAAGTGGAATGTCTAATGTCTGTTATACAGCGTTCGACAGCGCAACAGTATGAACGCAAGTAAAGTGCCCATTTCGCATTTATACTCCGCATATGCCAATTGGCTTGACAGTTCGAGGGCGACAGGGTTGTTGGGCGCCGAGCGACAAGGGCTGCTGCGAGATCGGCGAAAGAGGGATAGATACCTCACAAGTCGATGGCTAACGCAGCATCCGATACCTTTTATTGCTGAAAAAATCCCAGTTTTCTCCCCTCCTCCTCGTATATCAACGGAAAAATTACAACTGGCGACTGCAGTTGGTGTTCGGTACTATTTTAGTTTTCGTGGCATGCTACCTCGCAACCTTTCATGTCTCAAACCGGACTTTATGGGCAATGCGTTATTTTTGAGGGGTTTTCGCACTATTAAACTCACTGATAAAATTTCACGTGTAAATGCCACGATGAACCATGCGGAAAACCCTGATCCTAGCTTTTTTTCCAGATTATCGATCTTCGGAGACTAGAAGCGGGTGACCCATCCGCTCTTGTCGACTACCCTTCGCGTGTTTTCCACCAGCCCCTTATCTTGAGGGACACTCAGTCTTTGCAGGAATCCATTATGATAAGGCTCGATTATGACGAGACATAACCAAGAACGACGGGTTTCCATGCAACCGAGTTCCCACGGAAAACGACAATAGTTCCACAACAATTACCCTGATCCCCTACTGGAATTTCAATTCTTTCCTTTAACAAGCCGCGATCGGTTGCAGCGAGGAGGCACGGATACAATTTACCACATATGTATGATGGAATATTTACCCAATCGCCACCACCCTATCTTCCACTGCCCGAGACATCTTTTAGATGCACGGCATATGTGCCGGGATTGGGCCATGCATTCAAATAGGATTGGGTCTTAAAAAAAAACATGTTATCGCGGCGGTTCCGCGTCTATTGCATTTAGTTTCAAGGGAACGCCACCGTAGGAACAGCGTACTCGCCCTAATTTCAGTTCATCTACAGTCTCGCCCATTACGACAACGATCGATAGGGGTAAATGAGCTCACCGCCCATTTACCCTTATCGGTCGTTGTTCATCACGGTTTGTGAAGACGAATAAGATTTCTCGAAGTATAATGGGCGCTTAACTGAGGTTGATGAGAGTTACTTTGAGTCAGTCAAAACCGATGCTTTCATTCTCACACCCTAAAATCTACAACAAATAACAGTGGCACGAGCCTTCGAGATGGCACATTTGTCGTATTACGAGAGGAAAATAACCAGGATGAACATACATGAACTATCCATAGACACGAGTTGACCATGATTCGAAAATGCCAGCCAACGAAGATGCTGCTTTCTGGCAACGGGTAAATCTACATGATTGACTCCGGAACCAGAGCTTCGATGCCACTGTTTACTATCCACGTCGTAGATAGAAACAGTGTGCTGAATCAACAACTTTTACTGAAGTACTCAATAAACATATTGGGAACGGACTTGGTAACTCGGGTGTTGATTCTTCTTTTCCTTTTCGTAGTAATCTCCTCCTGATACCGAACAGATCGCAATTCGAGTGCCAAAGCAAGCCGCCGTCAAAATTGGGCCTAAAGTCAAAAAAGTACAACATGCATGTTTTATGATCTGGATGATGCATAGGACTGAGAAACAACGAAAAAATGAGCAAAAATGGAAAGGAAAGATTTATAGTTCCGTAATATCCTCGTTTCTGCCTGTCCATTGTCAGTCTGTTTTGTTTGCCGGGAAAACACCACGAGGTATTGGTAACCTCAAGAAAAACCTCAAGAGGTCAGGTAGAGTGTGGGGGCGGGGGTGAGCGTAGGGCACGATTATCAGAAGAATACGTACAAGCTCAGCTAAACTCCTCCACAGGAATGCGACACGCCTTACAATGGGGGTACCAGAGACAAGTTTCCCTAATTCGGACTCGGAATTGCTCATACACAGAGAGGAAATAGACAAAGGGGAGATGTGTGAAGATAAATGAATTGGGTGGGCATAAGCGACCCAATGTGGATAGTACAGTTCCCTAACTCCTTCATTCGACTCTCGAGAGGCTACAGGTGTAGAAATCGGCGAGCTGAATTAGATCTACGGTGAGCTAGTCTTGCCTTAGCTGAGCGCTGCGCGCCAACCTGGAGGGTTTTTCTACGAGGTATCATAACGCTGTTTGGAAAAATTGAGAAAAAAGGAAAAGGGTCTGCAGGTCATCAAAGAGAGGGTAGCCAAAATGTCACGGTGAACTGGTCACGCTGATGTGGGCGGAGCCAAGCGTAGAATTTCATAAATTTGCTCGAAAGTTTAAGGAATCTGGAAAGAAAGCTAGATAGAGGTTGTCAAAAAGTAGAAGGTGGAATTTCTATGATGGGCGGGCGAGCATCAAAGCGGGCGGAGCCGGGAACAAAAATCTATAACTTGTTCAAAAGTTTTTTTTTNTTTTTTTTTGTTGTCAGAAATGGTTTAACGAGGATAAACCAATATTAATCTGCAATACGTGAAAGCACTCGAAAGCACCTACTCGGGTGTACGATAACATGGCGCTGTGTACCCGTCAACGTAAAAACTCGTAGGTGTCGCAATGTAGTAACAACACAGATCACTTCTCGCGATACCTGGAAATTGGATTCTCATAGACTGGAGAAATAACGCCTCGAGATTAGCGAAATGAATCAAATGAAGATCACGAACCAGTACGTCCAATGCGCACTCCTTTGGAGGAAGCTTAGTGCTCCATCTCCTGGATTCGCTGTCCCATGAAGAAATATGAATCACTAGTAACTCACTGAAAACGGACATTAGCATCTGCCCTGTGGATTCCTTCGTATAAATGCTCACCTTTGCTCGCCCTTTTCTTCAGCCTTGCTTGCCAATGCAACGGCTTGATCGGAAAGATCAGCCAGCACATATCCAGTAGTCCCGTTATCAAGGACGATAGTAGGATGGATAGTAGCGTCGTGAAAAGTGATCTGTAGAAAAGCCATATTATACACAACACGTTACTCGCATCAACACTATCAACTGAGAGAAGCAGTCATCATTCTGTAGAAGGCGGAAAAATAAAAGTTATCGCCGAACAGGGCGAAAGTGGGTAGTGGAGCTATTAGACATTGAGTCCTGTCAAAAACTCTCAAATCAAGATGTCCAGTCCGAATTGACCTCCCTTTGCTCTGAAGTCGATAAGCATCTAACAGATGAATATGATGACATATATATGCATATATGTTGCCATATTGATCTGTTAGATGTATATGTATGAACACATATTGATTACATAAACAAATATAATACGAGGAGTTGCGGACCTACACCCCGGTATGCGTGCGTCACAACAATCTGAATCTATTCAATAAAAAAACTTCGATTTTTCAATTTTTACCTCGATGCTACTTCCTTCCTCTCCAGAATAAGTACGCACGATACCATAACCATTCCATTTCTAGAAGAAGAAAACAAGAAGATGCGAAAGAAATCTGTAGCAGCACAAGAGGAACAAACCAAATAGCGCTGAGTTAGGTGGTCAGGTGAGGAGCCGGAAACGAAAAAAGAGGGAATCGCTGGAGGTTGATAAGATACAATCTGAGGAGGTGGAACAGACGGAGCTATACTAAACAATACAATGACATTGACGTTAATCTGAAAGGTATGAAGCCTCACTTGTGGAAATCATGACCAGCCGAAGGAAGCCTTCCACTAGGAGGTTCATCCAAACGGGTGAACCCATAATCTTCAAGGTTGCCCGATCCATCATCACCAAAGCCATACTTCCTCTTTATGGCTCCAATATCCACAGACACTGAAATATTTGAATAACGAAAACAATACATGAGCTGCAACAGATACAGTTAAACACACGAAAACTAAACTCACTTTTTGTATCGCCGTCGTCTTCAGCTTCATTGTCAAGGAAGCTCCCTGCATGAGAATTTTCGGCACCTTCCTCCTTAACACACCACTGAGATGAAAGATGAATGTGACAGGGATCAGAGAAAAACATACATTGCTCTCCTCATCTTCATCAACACCGTCGATTTCTTTTCGATCTGTGGTTTCATTTATAGGAGCACTTTCTCGAGTAGTGGAAGGAATAACATTTTTAAGTAAACACATTCCCTCCTGAAATTCTCCTAAACTCATGAAAATCTGCTCAAAGCAAATTCGGGAAGAAAACGTTTAAATGCTAAAAGTTGAAGAAAGAGTATAAAATAGATCAATAACGATGTTTCATATTACTGCATTGTCGCAAATAAAACTCGTCGTCTCATCTAGGAAACTATCTCGTATTTCAATCATCCTAACGTCTCCTTTCTCTCTATGTGTTGTGATCCTATTTGGGCGTTCTTTGTCATATTGGATGTTCAACAGAGGGACCCATTTGCAAGGTTTATTTGTAAATGGTGCAGCCGCTCTTTCATAGTATGAAGCTCCGTAATGGAGTATTCGAGGATTTCAATAAGGAGCGGATACAGGGTGCACGAATATGCTTGAACTGCAATTCTGACCAGCCAACTCTGGAAAATTAACCAACTTATTAACAAACTATAGAGGTAAAATGTCGCGCGGAGTGAGACAGCTGACATCACAGCTTCACGACCATTACATCCCCATGTACTTTCACTGCAGCAGCTTGTACAGCCGTTATGGGGAAATCAACGGAAGGAATAAGCGATGAACTGATCGGGAGGACATCGAAGAGAAAGGGCGTTTATGATGATATGAGTAAACAGACGTGGCGGAAGGGCCGCATATAAGTTGACTTCAATGTTAATGCTCCTCTGCAGTTTACAAAAATCGGAGAGATCGCGCCTCCACGAATTCACGATAACATGGCCAAGTTAAATATAATAGTTCTGAACGTGGCTACTCCGTTTCTCGATTCTCGACAACCTTTCCACCATAACTTTGTTCCGAATCGTAAGTGTAGTTGCGGGGGGACTTCGATCTGTTTTTCGTCTCTAACATTACAGAAGATTTGGGCACCGCGTTCACAGGAATTAAGCTGTGTTTAGCAACAATTTTTAGCCATAGACGGCTTTTTTACTTGAGACGAACAAGGGAGGGTTACGCTGCAATGACATTCAGATCTATACCGCTGCGAGTGCAACTCTGATCTTGAATCTACGTTCCAAACGGCTAATCGATTTTGAGAACAAAGTTGCGGAACCATTTTCCTTCAGTGTTATACCACTGTGTCAGACTCATAACCGATGCAGTGCTTACGAAGTGCAACGATGGTGCACTTGGTAGTGTGTTGAACGATAGGTAATACATAAATTTTTGGAAACCCGATGCTTATGTCGTTTTTCGAGAAATGTTCTCTCAAAAATGAGCACTTACAAAATGTTTTCACCCTTCTGATTGACTATAGATGGTCTTCCTTGGCAATTGAAGAACTCAAGAATGATCATTCAAGAAAATTTTTCTCTGAGCGAGTCTGGGTGCCCTTTTACTCCGTACATTCAAGCTGGTGCTACAAATTTCTAGCATGCACTTTCGGCAGAGGTTAGTCGAATGACGGGTGCGCTTCGTTGCGCGCGTCCGTCGGAACTAGGTCACGCCGCAGCCGTCGCATGTGCCGGCTCAGCCCGCGATACTTGACAGATGTCGTATTTGTCAGCGGGGCATACTATTTGTGCTTGGCCCACGACAGTCAGCCAAAGAGAAGATAACACGGACAAATGCTAATCATGCGCTCCTCTGAAACTTGATGGTACCGGAATGTCATTGCGAGACCTCAGGTGGGTTCGCCGCGCGCGAAGTGGGCGGGGTGACCTACTTTCGACGGGCGCTCGCAACGGACGTTCTCCGTCGAATGACCCATCTGGAATGAAGTCCCGTGCTCTTATTCAAGGCACTGGTACATGTGAACCCACATTTTAAAAGAAATACTGCCAAAGAATTCAACATTCAACAATTCTTGTCCGCTCAAATTGAGCAGCACCCTTATTCAGCCGATGAATTCTGATGCAAGAAAAAATCCATTTTAAGCGCATTTCCACTGTTCGTCAGATGTGGAGTTGTGTATATAGTCAATACGAACTGCAAAAACAAGCCCAGGAAACCTTACCAAGGGTCCCCGTTGCACAGAGCGGTTCTTGCTCGGTACACTTATCTGGATATAATACAAAGGGAGACAATTTCTCTGCTTTGTTTTCAGAATCGTTTCGCGGATTTGGAAGGCAAAAGCGAAATCAGCGCTCGAAAACCTACGGTGGAAGACATCTCTTCCTTAATGGCCATTGCGACCAAGTGCCCATTCACTGTAAGAAGTTTCTTCCTTCATTTTAATACGATTATGGCATCTTATCGAGTTGGATAAGATGACGGCCACGTACAAAAAGTTGGGATGGAAGACGAACTGATCGTTATGATAACATTTCTCTGAAAAAGTGAGACTAGGTGCGAAACGCGTGGAAGCACATTTGTTCCAAGTGGCCACTCCTGCCCTCCCACTAAGTTTCTCGTTCGACGTATATCTTGAAACAAGAAAGGTAAACCATAAGCATTTGACTCATAATTTCTAGATATATGAAACCTCATCTTACCAACCTCTATATCTACAAGAATAATGTCGTTCTCGTTGAAAGGACAAAATTTTGTGCACGATATGATCGCGTTTTTGCTTCTCTTGTCGTACACAAACTGAGATAAAACGGATCTGAAACCATATCCGTTTAATTGAGCGAGTTGAAAACGATGAAAAACACACAAGCAAATCACTTAATACAATTAATTAACTTATACATACAGGTAAAAGTGGAAAACGATCAGATTACATCGGATAAGGTCTACTAACTAATCACGGCAAAGACAGGAGGAAAAAGTAGTGTACCCACCTTTTCTGAACGTCCCAAACAATGATTTTATTAGACAATGTGGAGGTACATAAGTATCGACCACAACGAGATAGACACGACGTCGAAAAGACGTCCTGAAACTGATCATCATAGCAGACAGGTACTACTCACGTGCACAACAGCGTATCAAACCGAAGATGTTCCTGCTAAATTAAAACTGTTATAACTGCATTCCCAGCCATCTTTTGCAATCACTTTGATGCATCCACGAGACGGAACAAATAATTTCGACCCATCTTTAGACCATGTTAGTGTATGACGGGGATTCTCACTTCTAAAAATATCTATGTTATAAAGAAAGCTCGTCTTATTCTATATACAACAGCTAATAATCAAGACAAACTCTATGGGATAGAGTGGACTCGTAAAAGAAGCACAGGAATCTTAATCTTACCCAACATCTCCAAATTGCGCGAACATGTTGTCCAAAGACCGCAGCTTCTCATTGCTTGCAATGTTAAAAATGCTGACTGATCCGTCACAGCAGGCCACAGCGTACACCTGAACCAATTCAAGGATGAAAGCGGAAACTAGAGACAAAATTAATATCATGTCTCTATGAAATGAGGGTTAGCTCTCACGATAACATGAGAAGATCATTATTTCGTCATTTTCTTAGAAAAAATTATAGAACACGTGTATCGCACAGGCTTTACAAGGAAGAGTCGACAAACTGTAAGCGAACTCACTTCTTCCTTAGGATCGATCGCAACTGAAAGGACTTCAGCATTCATGTCGAGTCTGTCGTACGAAGCATAGTCCTTCAAACAGACCTTTTTCACTGTGAAATCGCTGAAATGAGGTATCCGTGATTTCTTCGCTCGCTTCGCACAAAGAATAAATAACGTAAGAGGATGTTGGAGTGATCTAGTTCAAGCAGTTGGATCAATAGTATTGGGCTGCTTTAACACTAACATTTACGCCTATTTTGAGAGTATTCTGTTAGACCATAAAACCTTTCTCAAGGTTGAGTCCTACAATACCCACTTGCAGTTACGTTGGGACCTCTCATACACTCGGCTCACTGTGAAAGCGAAATGAAAGTCTTTGATATGTCCCCATGATTAGGCAGAAAGAACTCAAACCTTCACTGCTCATGATGATTCGACTCTCTCAACTCGAGCAAAGCGGGCTCGCTCTCATGAGCACTCTGTTCACTTTGTCCAGTCTTGTCCAAAACAAGGCGATATCTAGTGGAAACGCCTACTGTGGACAACAGCAAAATTAATTCAGAGAACCTGATGATTTTTGACTCATTGTTCCCCTTTGAAGCGAGTACGACAGTGGCCATTGAAATACGCAGCGATGAGGTTTGCGAGATCATGAGTACAAGTGGGTTACAAGTGACGCTGGCCGGCATGATCGGCTTCTGAATCCTCGTCTGAACTCCTGACTGTAAACAAAGGTACATGTCTGTAGTAGAGAAGGGAAGTTTTTTATGCACTGACTCGAACGCTCAGCAAGCAAGTGGTCCTCTCCTTCTTTCGAACGAATGATCAGGGCAAGCCATGTTACTTATACATCAACGTACACCTGTTGACCATGCTTTTGAGCGGACAGGTTTTATTTTGGTTTGTCGACTAGTAGAAGCTCCAACGAAGAAGTGTTAGAATAATTTTCAAATAAGTAACCAAAAAAATCGCGATGGTCCGTAAGTCCCCACACTATTGTCCCCAGAGTTCGTACAGTGACGTCATCATTGTCGCGTTGCTAAAACTGTGTTATCACGAGCGATCATATGGTTAAAAAACATCTTCTTTCCAGTTCAAGTATTTTGCCTCGATGAGATACATCCTCTTTCACTTACATTTCTTTCTCATCGGCCACATTTAAGTAGGAAATGAAAATCTGTTGTCATATCAAATAACCCTGTTGGAAAAGAGTGGGAGTGGGGGCACCATCACAATTTTAGTATTTCAAGAGTTGAACTTAGTGTTACATTTTATTAACTAAGCCACTAAGCCTTGGGAGGGAAGGAGCCCCAAGGCGGGCGGGTGTCCAGCTTTTTGCACAAGGTACACATACCTCGGTACTCCAGCCCTCCTAAGGCTCAGTGGAAAGTGCACATTCACCTGGCTAAAGCCGCATAAATGTGCATAGATCCCCCCCCCCCCCCCCCCCAACCACATTTTCACCACCTCACTTTTCCCTGAAAACGCTTACCTCCCTCCAGCCACTACATAGTTTTCACTGGCGTCGATACTATTGACTTCCAATGAAAATGTGAACAGCTGTCTATACGTCTCAAGATCATCGAGAGAGCATTGTCCAACAATCTTCTTATCAACACCAGTCAGCAGGTCCGTTGTTGTTAGACCGACAAATACGTTCTTGCCCTATAAATATCAAAGTTCTACGGAGCAGAACAACAGAGTAATTAATTCTCAATTAATTTAACAGTTATTACAAGCCTTGACTCATGGTGCTGTCATGAAGTTTTGAATCTATAAAAACTTTTGACACTCATGGATGCCAAATCAATTGAAATAAAAAAACCTGCCGTAATTGACAGCATTTAAAGCCAGAAAAACTCTTGCTGTAAATTAATCGCCTTATGACCGAAATAGCAGGACGATGGATAGAAGAAATACATTGACTTGACAGAAATTTTGCTAAATTGAATCATCAATACCATCCGGCCGTTGATTTTACACCTGCCATGGTCAAGATTCCGCGTAGTAAATAAACATGGGAAATTCCGAGATGTCAAATAATTCTGAACATGAACAAAAAAGTACATTTAACTCACGTTCCATGCACAGCAACTATGTGTTGCATCCCCAACAGTTTTAATTTCAGGAACTTCTCTTTGAACTACGGTCTTTTCGTCCCAAACATAGACGGTCCCGTCAACACCACACGTGAGAAACTGAAAGGTCGATATGAAAAGCAGGAAAAATAGGTAAAGAAGTTCTACCTTATCCGAAGAGCCAGCTCTATCAGTACACACTGTTATACTTCCTTTGACATGTATGTTGCGGACGTCTGTGAAGGACATAATCTCTTGAAAAAAATATTTATAGCATAGTTAATCAGACATTCTTCATCTCTAAGCTGGTGTACGATGACGTTATGCTTAATTCTCCCAACGCAAAAAAAAATACACACACGCCCAAGCACCTTAGTATTTCTCATGCAAACTCCGAAACTAGAAGCCCTGAAAAAAAAACAAGAACGTGTAAAGCGATGTTTCTTCGTCGAAATTGTTTTAAAATATATCGGATTTTTAAATTTCGCGCGCGGTAAGCAGTAGGGGTACGGTAGCTGACGCCTAAACTGCGTGGATGGCGGCGTGCACATAATAAAGGGCAACTACGCAGCACCAACCTCTTTCCAAGTGGAAGTGCGGATTTCGTCTTCATTTTAAGCGCCTTTTTTGGAGGGTCCGCTTCACCGTCTGGCGAAATGGTTAAGGGGGTGGGTGGAGTGTCTCTAATATTTCTCGACTATACTATATGGTTTAGTAGTTTTGGATGGTTGCATGTTTGGAGTTAGTTATTCGAAATGTCCGGCCATTTTGCATTGAAGTCACTTTCAGAAACTATATGGGAACAAGGACAACTTTAGGACGCAAAAGGTCCTTATCGCGGCAAAGCTTGGAAATGCTGATTTGCAACTTGCTGGCGAAAACCCACCTGCTGACAAGTTCCCGCTTGGCGTGGTGAGTCTCCTTCAGATATCTTTGCACAGTTGTTTTGTTCATCATACAGCTTTGGAACGTCTTCATATCCCGATGAGTTCTTACGTTGAACACTGCGAAACGCCGTAGCTTTCATATTTCAAAGACTACGCGTTGATACCTACTTTTGTGCTACTCGGGTTTCTTCACGTAAACTTCAAAATATTCACCATTTCCTTTGTGGTATCATGCTTTTCTTACTTTTCTCAAACCGGATTCCAACTTACGTCGGTTTCGTGGCTTGACCTTTCTCTGTGATACTAACTATCCAGCGAACAGGAGTAGAGGTGAAAATGTAGTTGGGGTCGTGTTTACTAGAGACGCTAGAGTGGTGAAGAGTAAGGGTGCCGGCTTCACTTATGCCCCTGTAGATTGGTCCTAGACTAGGTAAAATAGTTATTGGCTAAGCCTTAAGGTGGAAGGGTCGCGTGTAGGTGGGTTCATTACATTAGGCAAAAAGCTGGGGTGGGGTAAGAAATGAACATTCAGTTGACTCACCCACTACGTTACTCACCCCAACCCCTTGGGCTTAGAAACGTTTTTAAGCACCATTATTGGCTTACAAAGCCAGCTACAGCTGCCCCGGTTTCTCTGTGCTTTAGCGTTTTGAGTTATGGACAAGGGTTGCCCCTCCAACTACATTTTCCTCGCTAACGTTGCAAACCCATCACCGGCGACTCATTACGTTCGCGGTTTAACGGTGTATTGTATTTTCCTTGATGTGCATTTCAGTTCTCTCTCCTTTAGTGACCTACTAATTTGGTTGAAGCTTGCTTGGCACTCAATAAGGCTTTTGAATTGGTACGAATTTCTGCTCCATCCCGCGGACACCTCATGCTTTAGGTTAGACTAGTATTTGTTCGATAGCCTTGGACGTCCCGCTAACCTTATGGTTAGATGAAAGTTCTCTTGTTTAGGTGTGCTAGGTTGACCATACACCGTTTATTTCTTTATCTTTTTCTGAGTACCAGCTAATGGTTGAATCGAATGTGAATTTATGGAGAAAGTGCCGTTACAGGTCGAAGGGGTGTGGGTGGATCTGTTCTCCTAACGTGGTGGATCTGTTTCATTTCATTTGTTAATCCATTCCTCACCTTTGCTCATTTTCCACCTGTCTGTCTCTTCTTTTGTTACACCTATAAAGTTCCGCTCTGTTCATCGACCATTCCGGTTGGAGGTTGAGTTGATGAAAATGTTACTTCTATCTACTTTCTACTGGAAGAAAGCAACCAGTAGCGTAGTGTATCTTTACGACTCTTCGGATTATTTTACCAATTGGAGTTCGCCCAGTCAGATTTCGACGTTTTGCTTCTCGCAAAGATGAACTCCAAGCTTGCTGCTGAGTCTTCTGGATCAGACTGGCTGCTCTCATACTTCGACGTGCAACGCGCGGCTAGAGAGGTGTTGACAACATTGGACGTGGATGGTACACGTGCCACTGCTGTCACACACTTGGATAGCGCTGCAGTATGAGAGCAGCCAATCAACGCGACCTTCAATCTGCATCCAGTTTTTGAGCTTTTTTTGTCGCAATAAATTTTTTGCTAAATCAAATACTAAGTGCAGCTTCTATGACACTGGTACGTGATTGAAGGTGAAGGCCAGTTATGACCAAAGAGTTACTTTTTGTCTACTTGGCGCTTTACCATTGCGCAAAAAGAAGTTCGATCGGAAGGAAATGCTGTCACAGCGAAGCATATATTCGGGCAGTGTAGAGAGAGTGTTTGACAACATTCGAAGTGGTTCTTTGCTCAAATGACTATAAGTGGGAGCGAATTAACGTTGCTTAGTTCACCATTTTGATTTTTGCCCATTCGCAGTGTGGGATTTCAGACTCCAGCATTTGAAGGTGATGTCAATCTTTTTGGTGCTGAGTCAATCGCTATCCATGTAGCTGGGTGTGCAAACGCATGCGTCAAGAACGTGAGTTTAGCCGTTTTTAACTCATGAGTTGGTGCGATATTCCTGCAAAGTTTTTTAGTGCGCCGAAATCGTGCAATGGCTCCAGTGGGCTGAAGGGACATTGCTTCCAATAGTGCTAGGTTATGTTCTCCCATCAGTCTCTGCTGCTCATCTTGACAAAAAAGTCAGTTGCTTTTCTTTCTTCGCCAGATGAGCAAAATAATATTCCCATGCGCGTGTTGACGCATACTCATTTTTTTATCGCTTTAGGCTGTTGACGCATACAAAGCGGAACTCTTTGCTCAACTAACCCATCTTGACGAAATTCTTCTGTCGAGGACTTTCCTTGTTGGAGAGCGTCTCTCTTTAGCAGACATCTCCGTGGCTCTAGATCTCCTACCGGCCTTTCAGGTTGCGTTTTGTATCTCGTTTCTTTATTTGTTCTCTAATTCGCTGAAATTTTAGCATGTACTCGATGCTTCCATTCGTAAGAAGTATGGTAATGTTACAAGGTGGTTCCAAACAGTGGTGCATCAACCCAGTGTAAAAGACGTCTTGAAGGACGTGCACTTCTGCGACAAAGTATCCCAATTCAATCGTGAGTATCCTTTCATAAGCTTCATACTTGTTGCTGCGACTGAATGATGTCTTTCAGAGGCGAAATTCAATGAGATTTCGGCGAAGAACCAGCAGCATGCTGGTAAGCATGCTCCAAAGAAGGAAGGTTAGGATGTTTTACTTATTTCAGTCAGTGGCGTTTCACTATACCTTCTCACAATTTTCGTTTCGTACATTGTAGAAACGCGGCTTTATGTTGTGCTTCACATCCAGTTCGGCGAAACCTGTACGCTAATACATGCGTGATAACAAAAACGGTTTCGAATAGACTCGTGCATCTTCATCTCAGCATCTCAATCTCAGCTCCGCCCATAACTCCCGTCGAACCTTACACTGCCCATCACTCTTTTTTGGAGTTAGAATCACTTTCCGGATCCTGGACTTTATTGTTCAAAGTCATATGCTTATTTATAAAGCTATTTGGGAGTGAGTGAGTACGCAGGTCCTCGCGAGCGACTTCGCTGACTTCAGGTATGTTAACTTGGGTAAGTAAATGAAAATGAAAATAGCTCGCTGGCTTGGATGAGTGCTATAGATCGGAAGACATCAAAGCGCTCCACTGCCGCTTGCGTGTGTCTGCTTGGCAGTTTTGGTTCTGTGCATTCTAGTTCTCTAGCATTGGAGCCAAGTCTAGTTTACGCGCCATTTTAAAGGCACAACTCACTATAATTTTGAGCAATCCAGATTATGACGAAAAATGGAAGATAAGATGGGAAATAGTGCCATGAAGGCGATGAAAGTGCATGAATCGACGTTCTCAAAGAGAAAAAGGCTTCGAAAAAGTCGGTAGAAAGGGGCCCGTCGAGTATGAAAAAGAAGAATGGGGCGTGTGGACGAGCTATACAATGTGTGTCGTTGCGTACGTGTGGGTCCTGGTGCGAATAGCTGACTACAGTTATTCATTCACTGATCAGCATAAGTTTACAAAAAACTCAAGTAACAGCGGAAATAGCTCACCTTTTTCAGCCTCTTGTATGAGAAAATTTGAGTAAAGGTCATAGCAGCAAAAAGAATATCAAAGAGTGATAGGAAACGAGAAAAACATCATCTCATCATTAGGCGAACAGCTGATTGCGTGCTGAATAAGTGGGTCCTGGCGCGAATATTGCAATCTGTATCGCCTCGACACATGTCTGGCGTGTCATCGATCGAGAGGCGGGAAAGCGACTCGAGACAGCAACACGGTTTCCACTGTATCATTGGTCGAGAGGCAGAGCATCCAGGTGATCCGCTAGGGGCTCCCACTATTAAAAATACACCGCGTGACCCCTTAGCTACTGTGCCACTAGACCATGTCCCTGCCCATAGCCCCTTTTCCATGCGTGTTATACCAGGCGGATGAAAATTTATGCGTCCTAACTAGGTTACGCCGTGACCGTGAAGAGGGATATATTAACTACAGAAATTCTGCAAAATTGAGAAGATGCTCCGCTCATCGTCGGTGAATGTGCCCTGTCTCACGTAATAACACCTTCCTTAACTTTGTCCTTTTTCCTGTGTCGAGACTGTTCTAAAGCTAAAAAGGGAGTTTCGCGTTCACTACGGACGATTTCGATGGTTGTCTTAGTTGGTTCATCTTGCCCTAAACCCGCCAATTCAAAAACTCACGTTTTCAGGTCCCTGAACTAATACCGCATTTTATGGAAAAAGACAGACGCAAGCGCTTTATGCATTGCCATCATGTTATACAAGCGTTTGCATATAATTAAAAAGGGGCGAGGGTACCTTTCTCCGGAAATCGCGTCGCGCTTGCCTCACCTGCCGTGTATCGCAGATATGGATTGGAGCGCGCAATGTGTCAGTAAGATTTGCGATGGATAGACTCTTACCATATGGAATGAACCGACAAGTTTCTAGAACACCGTGGAGAAAATTAACCGTTATAGTTCTAGCGGTAAAATGCTGTTTTTTTTTTTTGGATTAGCTGCAGATTGAACGCAAGGTGTTCCAACCTCAATTGAGTTGTTATTCGTTCAAAGGGAGGATAGCTATTTTGCTGATATAACCTATCCGCTACCCTATTTTATCGTTTTAAACACGCCCACCTCATCATTTTGTTACTTATTCTTGAAACATTTCTCACCAATATCGTTTTCGAATCCGTCATTAACGAAATCACAAGGAAGGTGGTTATAATAACATTCGGGACAGCTTTGGTGCTGCTATTAAACGATATCAAAGTTTTTGAAGGGCAATATTTTGAGGCAGTTGATTACGTGATTAAACTGAAATGAAGGCGGTGTAGTGGTACTGAATGGTTAAGGCTTGGCTGCGATGCGTCCCGTCGAGACCATATCTGAAAACTAGTGACGAATGCGCGATGATTCTCGAAGTAAAGTGTTTTCAGTCAACCCGAGCATACTTCTGAATCGTAACCCTTGCATGCAACAAATCTTTAGTCTCTTCGAGTTTGTACCTTATGTGTCGGAGTTCGAGTCCACCGCTTCATACGACTATGTTATGTGTTATGATTTGATTTTATTTCGTTTTTTCTTTTCGAACCACTGCGCAGTCAGCAATCCATTGTTTTTTTTTTGGAATTGCGTTACGGTGGTGGTATAGCATTGGTATTCAATACTGAACGAAGAGTACTCTGTTTTAGTGTCCTTTTCTGGATTGTTGAAATACCTTTTAGAGCTCGCTTGTTGACTGTATCAGTCTTGAGCTTAAGATCAATGGTACATGTCTCATGTGAGCTCTGTACATTTAGACAAAATGCGCTCATTATTGAGTTGCTGCAGATGTTGTATAATAACGGGGTTAATGTATTTCTGGTTCATAACTTGAGCAATGTGAAGTAAAAGTTTCTATTTGAATTTCAGAGAAGAAGAAAGACCATCCAAAGCCGGCAGCTAAAGCCAAGGAACCAGAACCCGATGACGGTGGTGACGAGGTTGTTGTAGAAAAATCGAAAGATCCCTTCGCAGACATGCCAAAGGGAACTTTTGTAATGGACGCTTTCAAACGTGTGTATTCAAATGAGGACACTGCGACGAAGGCGATACCGTATTTCTGGGACAACTTCGACGCCGAAGCGAACTCGATTTGGTATTGTGAATACAAGTACCCAACGGAGCTCACGCTGACCTTCATGAGCTGCAACCTTATTTCTGGTAGGTATTCGGTCTGTTGTAACTATTAATTCTTTCTTAGATACCTTTGTATTATGAAAAATCCTATTTAGGCATGTACCAGCGGCTGGAGAAACTTAAGAAGAATGCGTTTGCATCAATGATCCTTTTCGGAACCGACAATAATTCAACCATTAGTGGTATTTGGGTATGGAGAGGTCAAGAGCTCGCTTTTCCGTTATCTCCTGATTGGCAGGTGGGTATATAATAAAAGCGTATCAGGACTGAATAGGGAAGAGAAGTCATTTGTGCAGTAATTATGACCGTACAGTGTTACACTCTTCCAAGATTATCGCTTCATCTCGTCCGTCGGAATCGTTCCTTTGTTCCGTCCTCCATAATGTTTGCTACATTCTTATCCGTTTCCTTGACCAGTGTTAGAATTTCATTGTCGAGTTTTCTAATGCGCTGACTTCAGGTGGATTATGAGTCCTATACATGGACCAAGCTTGACCCAAAGGACGAGAAGACAAAGAAGCTGGTCAACGAGTATCTTTTGTGGGAAGGTGACTTTGACGGAAAGAAATTCAACCAAGGGAAAATATTCAAATAGACTATTTAATGTTAATGTCTTTGTTGCGTTGTTGTTTCATAGAAATAAAAAATCCCCCGGTTCAACGTTGTGCGGACTATTCCTCTTGAAATATGCGCCTTAATAGTTACTGATAAAGAGGGAGCCATGCACACTACTCCCAAAAAGACAGGTGTCGTCATCTATCATATTGGTGTAGCAAGGTAGCTCAGGGTACATAGTTCTTGTGGGCTAAGATGAACATTTGAAGAAGAATGAGAAAATAGTTGCAACTCGTGGCCGAAACAAAAAAGTTTTAGGAGCTAATTGGGGGCACTTGTGTCAGCATTTAAATTTTTATCTGAATTGCATGTAGTAGTGCGATATACCGTGAGATCTCCATACAACAGAACAGCGTGGACCTATGAAGTGCCAAGAATGTTCATCTCTGGATTCATAGCTGGTAGGCTTTGTCCATGTTATCCATGGCAGCTTGTTTCCCACGGTAGTACTCTGTGATAGCGTGTTCAACAAAGCAGTCCTTCATACTGTCGAATTGTTCTAAACACTGTAGGTGAGCAAGCGACAACTGGTTACTTTGGTCCGGTCTCTGAAATGAGTGGTTTTTTAATTAGGAAGTATTATATCTCTGCACGGTTGGATTTTTACAGCTCGCAATATTCAGGTTGATGGGGAGTTTTGATATGGAGTTACCGGTGTTGAGCGATTGCAGTTTTCTTGAACCTCAGTAATGCAGTATCGCACTCATATACCTGTAGGAAGCACTCACGCGATAAAATGTGTCTAAAGGGAGATATTAGCATTCATTACCATCGTTCATATGAGTCCCTAGATCGCGTGGAGTGAACGGGAATCAGGTATACTATTGCTGTATCTACGTGAATTCTATTCCTGGCGTATGTAGCAACATGGTTCCATGGGAAAAGTGTAAAGCCGGGACAGGCAATTCTTTCTTCAATTGGCTGAATTGAAACGATCCCAGCTACACGTGTTGTATCGAAAAAAAGATGATCGCTCAAACGCCACTTGTTACTCACCTGATCACAAAACACGAGACACTGCGATGAAACACCTGCACTTTGGCAGCACTGCGAGTGGTCCACACCCCGAGCAGCACAAAATTGAATTTGGGGTAGAGCTGAAGCAGGGCAAGGGAAGCTGAAGGTCATAGTTGACTGTACCTGAAAAAAATGGGGCTGCATCGTAGCATTTTTTTTTTTTTGAAGTCTTACTAAAACATGTAATGTAACGCATAATAATTGCAGTAATCGAATGCACACGATCTTGCCCTCACTATTTATTCACCCTGTTCGTTGACCTTCATGCAAGCAGGGCCCCTTTTCGACTACTAAAAGCTATTCCAATACCCTTCGAAAGTCCTTCGGAGGCAAGATAATTCTGTTGAAAGTTGGAAGCAACTCCTTTCGAAGATAATACATGAGTAGTAAAATTTCTTGACATGGTATGATTTCTTTGAAGGCTCCTACTGTAACATTCTGCTGAAAGGTAGTTTCTAATAAGACAATGGGAACAGTTCAAATGCTATAAAAATGGCAATATGATCTCAACCACAACACACCACACAGGGGTTTCTAGTAAGCAACATCTATTGTGAATTATGGTAACCTAGTTTCTGTAATAAGAAGCAGTTTCCTGCAAATGAAAAAATCCGCTCTCCGGTGTCAGTCAGTTGGTATTAGATCCGTGTGTCAGGATAAAAGCAGTGACTTTTACACCGCCTGACCACTGCGATTCGTTGTATGGACCGCACAGGCCACTACAATTTTAAAGGAAGTCGAATGCGGTGCGCATCCCTCAGACGGGATTGATCAACGCTCAAAGACTTCACCACTTTCAATGAAAAACAGTTGTGATGTTCGAGAAGCTACTAGTTTCAATACCGGATCACACTGGAAGACCATATGGCCACTAGGCCACCTATTGTGAGCCGCGGCTATCAGCTGACGAATTTGCAAGATGAATCATCAAGGAGTTTGAAGAGTTAAGTGCCTTTTAATCGCCTTGCAATTCGTTGACTCTGATTGCTCAGTATTTATATATTTCCGGTAATATCACAGAGGCAAAGGCTGAGCATGCTCTCGTGTGCGCGCGAGCTCACTGGTAGCATGGAGTGGTTCCCCCTTCGCTGCAGGAGATTAGTTAAAGGCCAGGTGATATTCAGGTGACTCGGGGTGACTGGATTAGGTGTGAAATGCCCGTTCGTGTCCAGCTGCCAGCCTCTTTTCAGCTGCCTTCGTCCTCTCAGTTGACTCCGGACAAGGAATATACCGTACGGTTGCAGCTGCCGGTTGCTCTTTTGGGAACTTTCTTTTCTTGGCTAAGTTTTTTTCCGGTCCAGCTGCACTAGGTTTTCTACAATTAAGGAAGTCACTTCCGTGAGTCAGCGGGGCACAGTATTCCTTAACGTAGCGAAGGATTCTTTCAAACTTTAGAAGTGCACTGCACCCTTTAGCAGGGGTCTAAAACCGTCAGCCGGTTCAAAAAGACGAAAAGCGGCCCTGAAGAAGGTCGACGAAAGAAGAAAGTTGAGGAGTTCCCCGCAGGTTGTAGTGAGGTTATAAAAGGGTACTCTATTGTTAAAGTAAGGTTATCGCCGCAATTGAGTTGTATTGCGGGTTTGTTCGTATATTTCGAGGTCGTTCTGGGGACGTTAAATTGTGGTTGTGACGGCGGCGAGAGGTTTAAGGTAGGCCTACTAGAGGAGGTATTCGGGTTTACCCCGCTTCGGATATAAAGATTCCTCTGGGATGTGTTTATACAGCTGTAAAAAAATAAAATCACTAAACAAAACAAAAAAGCAAAACTAGAGTAAAACGACGTAAATCGACAGTCAAAAGTTAAATGAGACAGCATTTTCGACGGCGTGGTATTTTTTTAACGAATTCCACCCGGTGTAGACCCGCACGGCCCTAGTCTAAGAACAATTTCCGAGAGCATCTCACCCCGTGGTTAATTTGTAGCCATTTCCACACTAATAATCCGCTGACCGTCCTATCTTAGTGTGGTTGGTCGCCAAAGTTTCATCTCAGAAAGCTCGTGGCGATCTTGAGCATATTGTCGTCGGCGGCGCAGTCCTTTGACCACATATGGTAAGTAGTTGAAGAAGAGCGCGTCAGCACTTACCCACCCCGCGAAGGAGATAATCACCAAAATCAGGCCATGCCGCGGCTGTTTCTTACTCACCTTCCGGCATTAAATATATAACAATCTCCGCCCTCCTTTTCTGTTTACCTCGTTAGCACCACCTAGTATTATTCACCCACTCTTCTGTCGAGATAGAGTCTAACTATTCTAATCTCATTTATATCAACTTTTTTATGACCCTAACTACGATATCTGATACTTTCTGAATATAGATAGTGTATCGTTATTTTTATTTCGTAATTTCTCACGCTTTCTTGGCTACTAGCTCGACCGGCAACATTTCAACATTTCAACCCGTTGAATTTCTCAAATGCTTTCCCATCACATGTCGCTCTTTGTTCCCTGCGGCAGCTGTTCATCGGCATCATCAAAGATTAAGCTCCGGTAAACCGACCTCGACAGGGTCAAAATGGGAACAGAAGAGCTGATAGCAACTCTCGATAGCTACAGCGCCAATTTATCAGACCTCCGCGAGCCACTTCAGTTGGAAGAATTAGAATAGACCTCTCATTCCACGACGAGGTAAGAAACGCACTTAAGAAAATACAAGAAACCGTGGACAAGCTCGCAGATCAGCCCGGGAGGAGCGCCGCCGCGCAACAACGACACGAACAGGACCAGCCCAAGGGCTTCATGAAGAAGAGAACGAGGAAGAAGAGCTCGAGAGTGAAGAACCAGAATCAGACGGAGAAGACATCAGTAACGAAGAGCCCCCGCGCGCGGTTCAAGTGGGAAATAAGCCAAGAGAAGTGGTAACGTCCGGGGCACGTCATAGAAGCCGAGCTACGCGAGGAACGTTGAGCGTCAACTCAGCTAGCCATGATTATGGAGTACTTAATGAGCCTTCCAACTAGTCCCCCGCGACGCCGCGGCGGTGGATTCCCAAGATCGGTAGCCCTGCAACGCCCGCCTTATCACATGCGCCCTCTGCCGGGCAACCGGATCCCACCGAGCGGATACATGCACCTATGTGAGATCGGTTCAGGATAGACGCATACTCGTACAACATCAGAAGAAATGCGGTCGCTGCTTGGAGCAATGTGCAGGGAATTCCACGTGCCGCATGTACCATGTCAAGTGCTTTTACTGCAAAAAGGAAGGTCACCACTCCGCGCTCTGCGAATTACCTGTTCAGGCGTTGGAAAACTGTGCCAAACTGGAAAAGGCGCAAAGATCGCCACTCCCAACGCATCAAAGAACTATCTGACGAACTAAGGCGCCAGCACTAATTTCCGGTCATCGCGCCGGCGGGAATACCGCGGTAATATGCGATTTTCTATAATTTCCTCATTAGATCAGTGAATCTTGACCATCAATCACAACATATGAAAAGTGACTTGATTACAGCTGCCAGACCGCACAGGGTGAAAATAACATGGTACAATGGCTGCTTTCATAGTCCGCCGGCCGGCCGGCCGGCCGGCGTGCCGGAGGAGGCAGTGCTAGGGGGGAGGAGGGAGGCAGACAGATAGGCAAACAGTCCACGCCCCTTCGAGGGGTTGAAAACAAACAACCTTCGAAGGGGCGTGGACTGTTTGCCTTACACTGTCTGCCTCCCTCCTCCCCCCTAGCACTGCCTCCGCCCGCACGCCGGCCGGCCGGCCGGCACGCGCGCTGGCACGCCGGCACGCCGGCACCACGAGCAAAACAAAAGAGCCGCCATGATCCAGCCGAGTCGTCAGTCGTCAGCTATGTATCTCACGACTTTAGTTTCTTTACTGCTACTGTAACACGGTTCACATTGCAATTTTGGCGCATCGAGCGGTGCGCGACTATAAACATTCTCTTATCTCAACTATCTCATCCCTCATCTCAACGTTCTCATCCCTTAACTCATCTTTCTCACTCAACGAAATGCCACAATATTAAATATAATTTCGCACTTATTTAAGCTATACCGCTTTATACTCACACCTCGTATCTATAAGCCTTATCCTCGACGATTTGTGCATTTTGCATGTATGACAGTTCCTGCTTTTTCGCATGTAATTGTTATGTTCTCAAGGTGTCGCTTGAAGCAATAAAGTTCTGGAATTCGGTCGCGTAGCTGCGGTTGAGACAAGAATATAGTAACGAGGAGGTTAAACGACTATTCTCGCTATATCTGCAATATTGTCAGTATAGTCAATATACGCAGGTATGGGCGATTACTTCGTGAACTTCTCTATGCCAATCAGACAGTTGGCACGAGTGACGAGTCCTACCTACGTGATTTGTCTCCTCCCTTCGCTCAACCCTGCTCATTTCTTATAAGCAGCCATTCTTTAACCCTCACCTCTGATTAGGAGGATGCTGTACGCATCGGTTCCGGGCAAATACCCCTCGTTGCTGTCCAGGCCACTTATAGGACAGGAAAAGCCCCCGTTGGAATCCTCATTGCGGCGTTAGCTCCAGTGAGCTCCAAGAACACCACCATCGTCACCAACACTACTAATGCGGCTGTCGCGCAATTAAGAGAGACCCTTCTCTCCTTGAGCGATTTCGAGCATCTCAACATAGTTCGCCACATTTCCGATACGGCAATCAGACTCCGACACCGGTTGACCCCGGCGAAGTCCTAAGGACTCTCGGTGATGACCTTGAGGACCACCTCTCACATGAAGACCTCCGATCTGGTATCAGTTCCAGGAGTTCAGGGAGATCGTTACGTTTTGCGAACTCTGAAGCGTATGGTCACCATCATGTTGACCGTACGTCGGCCCTCGATTATATGTATGAACACCACCCCTGCAGGGATATTTTCGCCTTATGATACGGAGTTCACGACCGTGATCGGTGTTGAAGATCACAAATCCCGAAAGTTGCTTGCAACAGACGGTCGGTTAACCCGCGCAGGCCACGTTTGCATGGAAGACGCCCACCAATTAGCATCCCACGTCAAGTGCCCTCCGAATTCGAGTCCTGTCCTCCACGGCGCGCGAAGTGTGATGCCCCTCCTTTTGCAGCCTCCTGCGGTACAGGTGCCCCTGTCATTGCCACCTTTAGGTCACACCTTGCGCTCATC